AAAGATTTTTACATCAGATTAACCAGCTCTCTTGCTTGCCCATGTTTTTCCCTGGTTTTTGTACCTTGAAATGGGTGTGCACTCTTCCCAGTCTTGATCTATATCTTCCCCGATATTTCCAAACATATTCATCTGGGAAACATATGAAGATCTTATTCGGGGCTGGTTTCATTGTTTTCAAATATCTGCCCTTGAAATTCAACTTCCACCACTGTCTCTCATATCCAAAGCTATGTGCTTGCAGAGGATTTCTGCTGAGAAATTTCACAGAAAGCTCTTCTACTGCAGGTGAATGATGCCAGCAAGTCTTGACTGAATAGCTTAGGGAACAGGACTCAGCCAAATGACTGACATGACAAGGGAAAAGCGTATGCTCAAGGATAGGACATGGAAGAGGTCATCTGCCAGGCCCTGGCATATTTAATATCCCATTGAAAGTGCATCCATGTGTAGATTGGCAAGCATTTCCATCCACAAATTCTGAGCAGTGAAGCCTTCAGAGAGAATATTGTGGCATACCAGGCCAAGAATATTCATCCTATTTAAATCTTGCCCTACAAGGTCCTCTGTGCCACTGAGGTCTCCATGGCAACGCCCAGCATTGTGACTCAGGTCTCCTACTGCACACTTGTATCCTACAGCCTAAAGTCCAGCTCACAGTGGTGCTCAGCCAATCACAGCCCATTGTGGTTGCCTGGCAACCACAAGCTTGTGGATTTCTGTGAACTGTTTCAGCCCAACTCTGCAGCTTTCCACCTCATACAACCACAGCCATTCCAATCATGCAGTATTTGATTAGCCTCTCTATGTTGCCTCAGAATTTTTTTTACAGTTGTAGTGACCAAGAAAATTTGACATATTTTGAGAAGAGGAGGGAAGTAGTTGGAAAACCTTTTGGTATGTCTGAGGTCTATGGGTTCCAAACTTGACTATCCCAGTCTTTTAAATTTTCAAACCTAGAGCAAAAAATCCACCTCACAGGGATGTTGAGCCAATCTCAGCCCATTGTGGTTGCCTGGCAACCACAAGCCTGTATATTTCTGTGAACAGTATCAGCCCAACTCTGCAGCTCTCCACCTCATACAACCACTGCCATTCCAATCAAGCAGTATTTGATTAACCTCTCTAAGCTGCCTCAGAATTTTCTTTGAAGTTGTGGTGATCAAGCAAATTTGACATATTTTGACAAGTGGAGGGAAGTAATTGGCTCTGTCTTTAGCTCTGTTTGTGGTATATGGGGTCCAAAGGTGACTAGCCCAGTCTATTCAGTTATCAAACGTAGAAAGCCAAATATTTCAAGGGAGGAAAGAAAATGCCACAATGATTTGGGTTCTGCCAAGTTTCTGGTGGCTTGGGAAGCAAACCTGAAACCATACATGCAGGCTCTGCTGGATTACGGCCACCATGGTAGTATCAGTTAGCACTAAAAGCCAGCAACCAGAAGATGAGACCCAAAATGAAAGTGAATCCTTGCAGTGCATGAATATTTGGAGTGCCTGCTTCAACTATCCAGCTTCCTCGGGGTTCACTTGTCTGCAATCGCTATTTCAAGGAGGTCTGCAGCCATTCCAGCATAATCCTGAGCACTAAACATGAGGTACTAGCTCAATACCTTATAACCAGCAGGTTTTCCCAGAATTCAACTGTAACATGGTGAAAGGGAAACCCTTAGAAAAGGGATGCAAATGCCCCTTTAACTAAAACTCCCAGGTATTTTCTTATGGCATGGAATATTTAGACTCCACAACTCATGTAGTGAACCCAGGGACCTAGACCAAGTGTGTCTAGTTTTCTGTTGTCCTCTTTTTGGAAACAGCATCTTATGTAGTTGTTGAAAGAGGCCTTGAGATAAATTCTTAGCCCAAGATGGACTGGAACTCCCAAGGATCCGTCCACCTCAGCCCCCAGTTTGCTGGGATTATAGGCATCAGGGACCATGCCAAGCATGTGTACAGAGATTCTTACATAATTTGTGAAATCCCACTACTGGTCTATAGGTAGCTTCTGTGCTTCAGGCTTTAGGAATATGCCTCTCTTTGTTTTGGCTCCCCTTGTTCAGGTGTCCATTTCTATTGTGATAAGCTCCAAGGCCCCAGGCAAGGGAGTGGCTTCCCTTCCTCTGGTGTGTCCTTGGATGATTACAGCCCAGGTGAACAGGGTTCAAATATATTGGATCCTGTGCATTTGAAGAGGAAATGAGTAAAGATTCATGAGTTAATGTGGACATGCCAGGGAATTGAGGGGCCATGATAGAGACAAAACTTCAGGCCATGGGCTGAAGGCTGAGGATTCTGTACCTCTAGCTTCTTGAATAGTGGGCCTGCTGAGCAATTGTGTGCTCTCAAATGTAATTTGATGGGTTTTGTTTTAATTTATTTTGTTTTTTGCTTTGGTTTTTTACATGGAAGGAACTGTACCATGGTTTGAAGAAGCTGGAGTGTCTTACCTAAGAGAAATTTGCAAAAAGGGACAATTCAGCAGCCAAGAATTTCTCAAATGCCTTGTCGTTTTAAAAACAGTGACATAAAGTTGAGTGTGTCATGTCCATGTCTCTTTACAAAAGATTTTACCTCCTATTTGACAGGAATTACTGTTTCTTTGAAAGGACAAACTGCACTGAAATAAAGATAATCCCTCCTTTCCTCATTCTGCTGGAAACCACATCCTTTGTTAGTTATATTTTCTTAGGCAGCAACACTTGGAGATGACTACAGCAAGAGTTTCCCATTGGTGGAATTTCCACGGAGACACATGAAGTAATACTGCACAATTTCAAGTGAAGTGCACTGTCCCTTAACAATGGCAAGTTTGGGCAAATCTCTAGTAACTGAAAATCTTAGAAAGTCTGAAAGTGAGTGAATGAAAATGGGCCTCTCCACATTTGGACAGGGCCTCTCCTGAAGCACACATTTGTGGAAAAAGTAATTATGAGAGATGAATGAACTCCCAAAATGGAATGGAAATTTTCTTGTTCAGTCCTGGAACGCTATGGCCTGGAGCCCTGTGGTTCTAACTGGATGAGCAAAGTGTGAAAAGAGATCAAAGTAAAACACACACCATTTAGGGAACTCGATATTTAACCAGGTGTCCAGAGTAGTGGCAAACTGTACTTGTGTCAATTTGCTCAAATCCTGTCTTCACAAGAAAGTAAATTCCAGCACGACCAGTGACTAGAGGAGGACACTTTTCAAAGGACTTGTAAAAAGTTAAACCCTGAAGTTAGCCCAACACTGAACTTAGATGAAAAGTAGCAGAGTCTTTTAGTCTTTCAAGTTTTAATAGGAGAAACTTATAGCATGTAATAGCTGTTACATGAATAACTTCAGAGCTTTTGGAGAGGTCGAAATCACTATGAGTGAGGGCTTCCCTGACTCACAAAGTTAAAAATAGTAAAACAAACAATTTGAAAAACCAATCAACCAATTAAATACAAACACTAAGTCCAAAGGGTTTCACTGGTTATAAAACCACTTATGTAATGCACAACTATTGATGAGGCTTACTCTGCATTCTGCTTTACTCAGGCCTGGTACATGAGCACCTGTGAAAGCAAAATTCAAAATGTTATGTGAAGTGACAATTTCATTGTTGAAACCATGACCCAATAGACATATTCTCTTTTGAAACTTCGTACTTTATCCATATATGTTCTCAAAGGGAAGGAATACACAGGATTTAGGCTGAATTTTTTTTCCAGTATTTTGTGTTCCATCCAGATTTATTTGAAGATCTTCTGTCCTGCATCCACTGCCCAATGCAGAAGGCCACACATAGGACAACCCACATGAGAACTTCACTTCTACAGCCTGAATATATCATCATGAGAATATAATTTTCCTTTCATCATCCAAGATTTTTACATCAGATTAACCAGCTCTCTTGCTTGCCCATGTTTTTCCCTGGTTTTTGTACCTTGAAATGGGTGTGCACTCTTCCCAGCCTTGATCTCCATCTTCCCCCATATTTCCAAACATATTCATCTGGGAAACATGTAAAGATCTTATTCGGGGCTTGTTTCATTGTTTTCAAATATCTGCCCTTGAAATTCAACTTCCACCACTGTCTCTCATATCCAAAGCTATGTGCCTGCAGAGGATTTCTGCTGAGAAATTTCACAGAAAGTTCTTATACTGTGAGAGTCGACCCCCCTGCTACAACCCCCTCCCCAGAGCGGGGAATGAAAGGGCTAACTCCCTAACTCCCCAGAGCGGGGGAATGAAAGGGTTAACTCCCTAACTCCCCAGAGCGGGGAATGAAAGGGCTAACTCCCTAACTCCCCAGAGCGGGGGAATGAAAGGGTTAACTCCCTAACTCCCCAGAGCGGGGAATGAAAGGGCTAACTCCCTAACTCCCCAGAGCGGGGGAATGAAAGGGTTAACTCCCTAACTCCCCAGAGCGGGGAATGAAAGGGCTAACTCTCTGACTCCCCAGAGCTATCAGAACAGAGCAGTAAAGAATGCTTCACTCCCTAAACCTTTCCCAGGAGATAATCAGAGCAGGGCCAAAGGGAATGTCTCTGCTAGTCATTAACCACCAGATGTTCTGTTCTCTGTAAAGATAGAGATAAGCAAAAGAATGTACTGTATAAACAGGACCAGGGGGCACCTGGCACTCTAAGGTCAACCCAAGACCCTCGGTCTCCATAGTTACTCAGCCCCAGACCCTCAAATCAGCATTAGCCAGGTCCTGCGCCGCTCAGAATTAACCAATGCGATTTGCTTCTGTAAACTTGCTTGCCTCCTGCGTGTATCTTTAAAAACCCTGCACAAATTCCCCTCGGGGCCCCTCTGCACACGTTTGCCTGAGGGACCCCATGCGCATGGAAATAAACTTTCTTTTCCTCACCAAGAGCTGAGTCCTTGGGGTCTCTTTCCCTGCGGCGTTGGCCCTAACATCGTGGAGGCCCCAGCGAGATTAGCACGTCTCACGGGAGGTGACCCCAACGGCTCTACGGGTGAGTACGACTGGTCGCTTTTCATACCACCGGTGTTTATGCCCCGAGCCATACGGCTCCGATCTAGGGGCAATTTTTGTTATCTGTTTCGTACTCTGTTCCCTGGTGACTGGGGGACGCCCCACACGGTTTCCGTGGTTCACCGTCTGCGATAGGGTCTCCCTATCGATCTGGGGGATTTCGATTCCCAATCTGTGGTCCGTCTGGGCCAATCTGGAGACACCCTTTGAGGTGACTCATCTGGGGGATTTCGATTCCCAGTCTGTGGTCCGCCCGGGCCAATCTGGAGACACCCTGTAAGGTGTCTCATTTGGAGTGAAACTGATGCGTATGCATGTGAATGAAGTGGCCGGCCTGATTGTTTTGTGTGTCGTGGGTGCTGTGTTAGGTTATTTGTTGTACCGCGCTTGCGTTAACCGCCCTGTGACAATAGAACGTCATGGGACAGTCGACCTCATCCCCATTGTCCCTCACCCTCGACCATTGGTCGGAGGTGCGGAAGAGGGCTCACGATCTCTCCTTGCAGGTCAAGAAGAGTAAGTGGCAGGATTTCTGCTCGACTGAGTGGCCTGCTTTCTCTGTGGGGTGGCCACCAGAGGGGACTTTTCATCTGCCCCTCATTCTAGCAGTTAAGGACGTCATCTTCCGCCCCGGACAAAGGGGGCACCCTGATCAAGTCGCTTACATCCTGGTATGGCAGGACCTCAGGGAGGAACCCCCATTATGGGTAAAATCCTTTCTTCCCCCTTCTGACTCATCTGTACCAAAGCTTTTAGCTCTGAAAGGACCTCCCACTTCGGCTCCGGTCCTGCCCGAGTCTCAGCCTGATCTACCCTTACTCGACTATGACCAGCCTCCTCCTTCCCAGCCGACTCAACCTCCTCCGTACCCACTCTCTCCTCCAGCCTCCTCGTCCGAATCGAGTGCTGCTTCTCCGTCAGCCCCCTCTTCACCTGAGCTAAATTCCTCTTCTCCTCCGGTACCCACGTCCCCTCTATATCCCCCACTCCCTGCGATGGCTTGCCCCGAGCCCACACCTCCGGGGCCCACGGGCCCAGCCCAGAACACTCGGAGCAAGCTACGGCTTGAGGATCCAGTCGTTGCCCTCCCTCTCCGTCCCTATGGGCCCATGATAGACGATGGGACAGATGGAGGGCAGATGCCCGCTTTACAGTACTGGCCTTTTTCTACCTCAGATCTCTATAACTGGAAAAACAATAACCCTCCTTTTTCTGATGATCCTTCTAAGCTAACAGGTCTAATGGATTCTGTTATGTTCTCCCACCAACCCACATGGGACGACTGTCAACAGCTCCTAGGGGTCCTGTTCACCACCGAGGAAAGAGACCGCATCCTCCTGGAAGCCCGGAAAGCTGTTCCCGGAGAGGATGGCAGACCCACCCAGAGACCAGACCGGATCGATGACTTCTTCCCCTTAAAGCGCCCCAACTGGGACCCCAACTCACCTGCTGGTAGGCAGCATCTTTCTATCTATCGCCAGACTCTAATGGCAGGTCTCCGGGCGGCCGCAAGGCGCCCCACTAATCTGGCCAAGGTAAGAGAAGTTACCCAAGGACCTACTGAGACTCCCTCAGTTTTTCTAGAACGCCTGATGGAAGCTTACCGGCGATATACGCCTTTTAACCCTGAGGAGGAAGGCCAAAAAGGCTCGATAGCTATGGCCTTTATAGGACAATCGGCCCCTGATATAAGACGTAAGCTCCAAAGGCTAGATGGTCTCCAAGACCTGACTCTGAGGGATCTTGTTAAGGAAGCTGAAAAGGTCTACTATAAGCGGGAGACAGAGGAAGAGAAAGAGTTAGCTAGGGACAAAAGACGAAACAAGGAATTAACTAAGATGTTGGCCACAGTTATTCAGGGAAAACCTGAGCCAGGAAAGGGAAAGCCCACTCGCCCTCCATTAGACCCTGATCAATGTGCATATTGTAAGGAAAAAGGACACCTGATCAAAGACTGTGAAAAGTTAAAAAAGAAACGGGCCAAAGAAGAACGAGAAAGACAGTCCTCACAGCGATCCCGAGCCCCCATGCTCACCCTAGATGAAGAAGACTAGGGACTTCGGGGCTCGGATCCCCTCCCCGAGCTCAGGGTAATGTTTAAAGTGGAGGGGACTCCCGTGGAATTCGAGGTCGATACGGGAGCTGTTTATTCGGCCTTACAAGCCCCCTTAGGGGCCCTTTCAACTAAGAAATCATTAGTTCAAGGGGCTAACGGGAGCAAATATCGCTCGTGGACCACTGAGCGCACAGTTGACTTAGGCAAGGGAAAAGTAAAACACTCCTTTCTGGTTATTCCCGAATGTCCTGCTCCCCTCCTGGGACGGGACTTATTAACCAAACTGGGGGCAAAGATTTCCTTTGAGCCCCAAGGACCTCAAGTGACATTCCGTAACCCAAAGGTTGGGCAACCTATGGTTACGGTGTTATCCCTAAAACTGGAAGATGAATATAGGCTCTACGACCACCAGGATCCCCAGCCTATCGCCCCAGCCTGGTTAACTGATTTTAAAGAATCCTGGGCCGAGACGGCTGGACTCGGGCTGGCAAGCCAGCAACCGCCTGTAGTGGTTACTTTAAAAACCACTGCCTCCCCTATTCGGGTCAAGCAATATCCCATTAATAGAGAAGCTCACCTAGGGATTAAGGTGCACATACAGAGACTTTTAAACCAAGGGGTATTAACTCCTTGTCGGTCTGCATGGAATACTCCGTTACTCCCGGTCAAAAAGCCCGGGACGAATGACTACAGACCGGTACAGGACCTAAGGGAGGTCAATAGCAGGGTAGAAGACATTCACCCCACCGTACCCAATCCCTATAATCTCCTCAGCGGGTTAAATCCGTCAAAGACTTGGTATACTGTTCTGGATTTAAAGGATGCCTTTTTCTGTTTGCCTTTACACAAAGATAGCCAGCCCTTATTTGCATTTGAATGGACGGACCCTGAGACTGGGTCCGCCGGACAACTAACCTGGACGCGCCTCCCACAGGGCTTCAAAAACAGCCCAACCATCTTTGATGAAGCCCTACATAAGGATTTAGCCCCCTTTCGGGCTCAACACCCAAGCCTCACCCTTCTTCAATATGTAGATGACTTGCTGCTGGCTGCGGACTCTGAGGGTGACTGCACAAGCGGAACTCAGGACCTTTTACGTGAGTTGGCTATCCTGGGGTATAGGGCATCAGCAAAAAAGGCTCAAATTTGTAAGCGAGAGGTAATTTTTCTGGGCTACTCCTTAAAAGGGGGACAAAGGTGGCTCACTGAGGCCAGAAAACAGACTGTGGTCCAGATTCCCCCTCCAAAGAGTCAAAAACAATTACGAGAGTTCCTGGGCACTGCGGGGTTCTGCCGGTTATGGATCCCCGGATTCGCAACTTTGGCAGCTCCCCTATATCCGTTACTGAAGGGGGGATCTCCCTTTATCTGGAAAAAAGATCACCAGCAGGCCTTTGATGCCATCAAGCGGGCTCTCCTGTCCGCTCCGGCCCTGGCTCTTCCTAATGTGGATAAGCCCTTTACTCTCTTCATGGAAGAAAAAAAAGGAATGGCGAGAGGAGTGCTGACCCAGGCCTTTGGGCCATGGAGGCGTCCGGTGGCTTACCTCTCAAAAAGACTGGACACTGTGGCAAGCGGGTGGCCACCCTGCCTAAAGGCCATCGCAGCAGCTGCCTTGCTCATTAAAGACGCTGACAAATTGACTTTGGGACAGAAAATAACAATCATTGCCCCGCACACGCTAGAAAGCATCATCCGCCAGCCTCCAGACAGATGGCTCTCAAATGCCAGAGTTACTCATTATCAGAGCCTCTTGCTCAACAAGGACAAGATAACTTTTGGACCCCCGGTGACTCTCAACCCGGCGACTCTACTGCCGGAAGAAGCTTCGGAACCCGTCCTCCATACCTGCCAGGACGTCTTGGCAGAAGAGGCCGGAGTACGACCGGACTTATTGGATTGCCCCCTACCCAATGCAGAGGTGACCTACTTCACTGACGGGAGTAGCTTTTTGATTCAAGGTAAGCGGTATGCGGGGGCGGCTGTGACTGATTATTCCAATGTTATATGGACAGCCAGACTAGAGGACGGGTCCTCGGCCCAAAAGGCCGAACTGATTGCTTTGACTAAGGCTCTGGAGCTCGCTAAAGGAAAGCGAGCGAACATTTACACGGATAGCCGATATGCTTTTGCAACGGCCCACATCCACGGGGCCATATACCGCCAGCGGGGGCTTCTGACCTCCGCAGGAAAAGAAATAAAACACAAACAGGAAATCCTCCAGTTGCTCGCTGCAGTTATGTTGCCCCGGAAGGTGGCGATAATACACTGTAACAGCCACCAGAAAGGGACTGATCCCGTCACAAGGGGAAACAACCTGGCCGATCAGGCAGCAAAATCTGCAGCCTTGGGAGACTCACAGATGTTGGTGACTGATGTCAAAGATTCTCCTCAAAAGGAGAAAGCTCAGATTAACCAAATCCCTGAAACACCTGATTTGACTGCTTACATACAACAGGCCCACCGGCTCACTCATTTGGGAGCTAAAAAGCTAAGCCTACTGGCCCAACGCCAAGACTTCCCAGGGGCATCCCCCACTGCCATACGTCAGGTCGCCAATCGGGTGGTGGCTAATTGTGAGGCATGTCAATTGACCAATGCCTACCCTGCCAAGCTGGCCCCCGGCAAAAGGCTACACGGCACCAGACCTGGACAATACTGGGAAGTGGACTTTACAGAAGTTAAGCCTGCCCGATGCGGACTAAAATATCTGCTAGTTTTTGTAGATACCTTTTCTGGATGGACTGAGGCTTTTCCTACCAAAAAGGAAACCGCTGCCGTGGTAACTAAAAAATTGATGGAAGAAATATTTCCCCGGTTCGGATTGCCAAAGGTAATAGGGTCTGATAATGGACCGGCGTTTGTGGCTAAGGTAAGTCAGGGACTGGCCAACATATTGGGGATTGATTGGAAATTACATTGTGCTTATAGACCCCAAAGTTCAGGACAGGTAGAGAGAATGAATAGAACCATTAAGGAGACCCTCACTAAATTGGCTCATGAGACTGGCTTAAAAGATTGGACGATGCTCCTGCCGTATGCCCTTTTTCGCGCGCGAAACACCCCGTCTACCAAACCCCCTAACCTTACTCCCTTCGAAATCCTCTTTGGCACTCCACCCCCCATTCGAGATCTCACTCCCTTAACTGAGCATGCTGCCTTGTTGCCAACCTCCCTGTCTGACAGGCTCATCGCCCTTGACAACCTGCAGAGGGACGTGTGGACGCAGCTAGCCTCGGCCTATGCTCCCAGTGAGTTCCCCGCGCCACATCCGTACCAGGTGGGAGACTTTGTGTTCGTCCGGCGCCACCAACAAGAGACTCTACAGCCTCGCTGGAAAGGACCGTACCAGGTCCTATTGACTACTCCTACAGCGGTAAAGGTTGACGGAGTCGCCTCTTGGATCCACGCGTCACACCTAAAGCCTGCCTCGGCACCAGTGGACGGCTCCTGGGAACTCAAACGGTCTGATAACCCCCTGAAGCTAAAGTTGCGCCGAAGGACCCCCTGAGATTATTCAGAGTACTACCCTTATGTGTCCCTCTAAGATGACCCGTATGGGACCCCAGACTTTAACCCTCCGGGCTCTAATGGGATTACTTATATTAATAATCCCCACTGTAGCTAGCCCCCATCGCCCCTGGAAATGGTCGTTAATACGATGGGGGGACTCACGTGTGGGTAGCACCTGGGAAGGATCAGGAAGTCCATGGTTTGCGCCCACACCCTGTTGGTTCTTTCCAGGGCTCCAATGTCCCAAACAAAGTCATTTTTATCTTTGTCCCGCACCAACCGGGAGTAGATCATATTGTAATTCCCCAGGAGAATATTTTTGTGCTTATTGGGGCTGTGAAACCGCTGCAACAGGGTGGCAACCCGCCTTCCCCGATGAACACCTTAAAATGACATGGGGGCCGCCGGGATGCAGCCTAGATAACTACCCACCGGCCGGTCAGAGATCCTGTCAGGTTCTAAATATCACTGTCACCACTCCTGAGGACCCAGGTTGGCTGACAGGACGCACCTGGGGACTTCGAGTCTATGAACCAGGTAAAGACAGGGGAAGCCTTATTCTCATAAAAAAGGTTCCCCTGCAGGCCCCATTTGTGCCCATAGGCCCAAACTTTACTCTAAAGCCAAAATATAATCAGCCTACTATAGATCCTGTTACTACTGTTCAAACAACCATAGTAAGTCCCTCAGCCATAACAGTTTCTCAAGCTCCGCTACTCCAGACAGATCACGTACCTGTCCCTCAATATTCACATTCTAACCTACTCAGTTTGATTAAAGGAGCATACATGGCTTTAAATCATACCCGACCTGATCTCCCCCAATCCTGTTGGCTATGTCTAAGTCCTAATCCCCCGTATTATGAGGGAACCGCTCTAAATGACTCTTATACACTAACCCCCAACCCCGGCCAATGCGATTGGAATCAAGTATACCACACTCTCCCCCTTCCTGGCCTCGCTGGTCAAGGAACTTGTATAGGAGCAGTTGATAACTGGCCAACAAGCTTGCGACATCTTTGCCTCACACACACTAATTCCTTTCCCAAAGATCAGTACCTCGTCCCTCCTGCTGGAGCCTTTTGGCTATGTACCAATGGGCTCACTCCTTGTGTCTCCACTAACGTCCTCCTTGCAGACAGCAGCTCCTGCATCCTTATAGACCTTATGCCACGCATTAAATATCTCCCCCCTAACACGCTCCCCCTCATGGGAGGTCGATATAAATGAGAACCTGTCTCCCTGACTCTAGCAGTCCTATTGGGAATAGGTGTGGCGGGGGGAATAGGAACTGGCGCAGCAGCCCTCATTACTGGGCATCAGTCTCGCCAAGAGCTTCTTACAGTAGTAAACCAAGATTTACAGGCCTTAGAAACTTCTATAACTGCGTTACAACAATCTCTCTCGTCTCTATCTGAAGTAGTGTTACAGAACAGAAGAGGCTTAGATCTTCTATTTTTAAAAGAAGGCGGTCTCTGCGCTGCAC